GTCATTGTTGTTTGGCGGGTCCGGGCTGGGGATTTGAACCCGCCACCTTAGGTGTACATGGCTGGCGCCTTAGCCGGTTGAGCTATAGGTGCCGAGCCTATACACTAATATATTAAGATAACAAGCATGGCTTTATGTTTCTTAAAACTATCTTCTAAAGAACAATAGGGTAATGCAGAAAAAAGATCCATTAAGAGACATATGGAATCATAGATTGACTTGATAGTAAAGAAAATCAGAATGCCTAAAGAGAGACAACCACACAAAATACTATGGTGCACTGAAACTAATCTGGCAAACTGTGTACACCTCTCATAACTGATTCCAAACTTAAGGTGGAAAGATGTCAAACTTTGTAATGCACCTGGAACACATCAAACCATGAGGCCATTTTTAAGTAATTTCTGTACTTACTTCCTAGTTTGGTTTTCTCTTTAGGCTAATACTCCCACTTAGTTCAGTGAAGTTTTTTCTTTTTTTTCTGTAGTCTTTCCTCCCCATGACTTTTCTATAATCTTTTCTTGATTTTTTACTTCTCTGTTTTTCTTGATGTTTCTTTCTTTCTTTCTTTTCTTTTTTTTTTTTGCCAGGTAAATAGTCCCCATTTTTCTATGGACAGAATCAAAGCACATTGAATTTCAGGATTTTAAGGAATCTTAAGTAAGAACTAATCAAAATACCCTCTAGAACTTCAACTTGTCTTTAACATCCTGGAAAGTGGTTGTTCACATAGAGAACCTGAGATTCATAGAGATTAAAGCATCATAACTTTATGGTGATGTTAGTGACAAAAGTGAGATTTGAACTCAGGTTCTTTAATTCAAAGCTTAGTACTCTTCTTGTGTAATCCTGCCACGGAGTGTTTTAATAACAGAATTGGGGGCTGGGTCTAGCAAACCCATTGGAGGAGAATAAGAATAAAATTAGCTGGATAAGGCCAAGCTCATTGAGAAGCAATGTTGGATAGGATCAAAGCCTTTAGAAAAGATATTAGAATATTGGGGTATCTGATAAGTTTGATAAAGATAAATCATAGGAATGAAGGACATAATATGTTGGGAGTTATCTAGAAATATTAAAATAGGGGGTTCAGGGGAGTCCTGAATAGGTTACTTCTTTTATGTTTGTTTAATTGGAATAAGTGACAAATTTGAAAGTTTCTATTGAAAGATGTTGAAAGAATTGAGCCATTGGAAGATAGGAATGTGGTGTCCTCTACTTGCACACTTATAGATGGGTGGCTTAAAGCCCCTTGAAAATTAGGGGGAGGGAGTGTGCTGAACTACATAGATTTGTGGACCAAGACAGGTATCCTCTCACCTCTATCTCTTTTCCCAATTCACTGATGTAGGGTAGAGCAGGGGTAGGACTGGCTGGTAAATCAGTCAACTTCAGTTGTGTCGCTGGTAACATTCCTGTGCTGAGAGTGGATGACTGGGACTCTATTTAGCCTGTTTTCCTGGAGCAGGGAAAAAGAGAGCTCCTACTCTTAATCATTTGAACCCATCCTTTCAGGAATGTTTGCTTTCTTAGGCTGAAGATTTAAAGATTGGAGACTGCTGTGGAGCCCTGCAGAGAGAAATCTGGAAATGGGAATCCATAGGAAGGAAACTGTTTAGATAGTATTTAGGGAAATAGAAGTACAGCTACCCAGGACTCTGTGTTTTTAATGGTCTTTCTCCCTGGGTATCATCTGAGAGCCAGGGAAGTTTTTAAAGGGCTTGCTAATTTATGCAGACCTAAATGAGATAGGACTTATAGGGAAAATTGGATTTTATAACTTTTAATGTTTTAATCTTTCTGGGAAGAATATTCCTAAAAATAACTTGTACATTTGTTCTTTGATTTTTCTATATTTAGCTTTCAAACATTTCAAGCACAATGGGGCCTTCTTAAATGGTTTCCATACTAAAAAACCAAGACTGCCATTCAAATGACACAAATTAGTTTTTGAACCAGAGATAGGTGATGGACAAAGGACATTTTATCTTTCTTCCTCAGGTAACAAAAGTTATGCCAGCCTTTAATTGGATTATTTAGTTGAGTTTTCAGGACAGTTTGTGAAGGCAAATTATTCTTAGGCTTTGCCAGAATTTTGGTTATTACTATTGGTTATGGAACTGTGGGTGAGTCTTCATTGAATATTTCATAGGTTGGGAGAAATTGGTAACTAAAACAGTTTTTTAAAAAAAGCCAAATTCTCTGGCAGCAGCTGTAGCTCAGTGGGTAGGGCACTGGCCACATACACCGAGGCTTGTGGGTTTGAACCTAGCCCAGGCCAGGTAAAACAACAATGACAACTGCAAAAAAAACAAAAACAAAAAACAATTAGCCAGGCATTGTGGTGGGTGCCTATAGTCCTAGCTACTTGGGAGGCTGAGGCAAGATAATTGCTTAAGCCTAAGAGTTTGAGGTTGCTGTGAGCTGTGACTTCATGGCACTCTACCCAGGCAACAGCTTGAGATTTGGTCTTAAAAAAAAAAAAAAAAAAAAAAGCCAAATTTAGATAGCTGACCTTTCACCAGATTTTGTTTTGTTTTTGTGTTTTGGAAGGGTAACCTGGATATGAACCAGCAGATTTTTTTTTAAGTAAACGAACTTGCTCATTTTTGATGTATGTTTTTGTGCTAAAGGCTTTCTGACAAACCAGGTATTGATGATTCATGGCCTACCTCTGATGACGAAGACTTCGATTTTGATACCAAGGTATATTAGTCTCTTGTGAAATTAATTTTCTGACTTTGAATATGGTTTTTTATAATATTTACTTTTTAAATTTACTTTTTAACCCCATTATTATAAAGAGATTCCATCATGCTGCTTTTTTTTATGTTTATAATAGAAAGGTAGGAGGAAATCATGTTATGTAATTATCACTAATTGATTTCTTTTACTTTGACAAAGATTGGTAAATACTTTGATGGGATGGGCTAAAAAAAAGAATGGGCTAGAAAATGCGCAGTAATAGGAAAAGATTTACATATAAATCTTTTTACATACACACATATATAAATATAGAGGAAATATTGAAATTTGGTCAAGGTTTACTTGTGTAAATTTTCTTACTGTGATTTTTAAGTGATACTGACATGAGTTTTATAATATTTATGCCTAAATGAATATTTAATGGATCTAATTACTTATAGTAATCATGTAATCTCCCTGGTGCTTTCCTCTCCCAAACTGTGCAGCACAGAACATAGTTTCTTTTTTTCTTGGACACCTTTTATATTTGGTATCATACAGTTTTTAGGAGAGAACTTTCTCTCTGTTTTTATTCTTGGTTCTGTAATAGTTTAAAATATTAGAAATTGTGAGAATTTATTTGGGCATGGTAGCTTATGCCTATAGCCCAGCTCCTAGGGAAACTGAGGTGAGAGGATCACTTGAGGTCAGGAGTTAGAGATTAGCATGGGCAACATAGTGAGACCCTGTCTCAAAAAGGAGAAGAAAAAGAAATTGTGGAAATTTAGAAATTTAAATTCTCTTTCTCAAAATCATTGTAAAGGGATTCCACTGTATCTAGGTGAAGAGTATATATTTTGCCCCACATAAAAGGCAGTACTAGAAACAGATACTGTAAATAATCATATAATTTCAGAAGTTTTTTGCATTGTAGTTTTTGAAAGTATCCACTCACAGTCCTTGTATCACATTATACAATTTCATATTTCAGAAGAGTTTGTATTTAGTGATTTAAATAATCACTATTTTAACGCTTCTATATAACTGTGAGCTACTGGAAGTTAGGAAACATTTGTGTGTATCCTGTAGTACATAGAATAAAGTCTTGCATGTAAGAAGGATTTTAATATTTTTTGAATGTGAATAAATGAACAAGTAATTGATTTATATATCATGAAGTGTTATAAGTAATATAATATGCATACTATATCTAATAATTCAATCTGTTACATTTCTAAAATATGGAAATACATATAATAAAATAAATTAGAAATATGTCACAAGTAGGAAAGAGGATTACAGTATATTTTTTAGTATCTCCAACTATAAACTTAGATTAGAATTTCAAATTAGAATTTCTTAAATTATTTTTAGCTCCAGTCCGTGTTCTATTAAAGGTATCTTTTCAAGCCATACATTACCCTTTAGAATTCTGGATTACCAATTCTTTTTCCAGTTGGGAAGTTGGTGGAACATTTCTTTTTCCGTTTTTCATTTTCAGTAGTAGTAAAATGAAAATGTTACAGTTTTCAGGTAGTGGTAGATGACCATGCTTGACTATTTGGACTGGTAATAAAATTAAACTCTTTACTGTAGAAGTAGTTTAGAATAAAGAGTTACAAAAAGTTTAGAATAAAGTTTACAAAAAACTAATTGTAAAGTAAATGCTAATCAGTATTATTAGGATAGACTAGGATATCCTAGGATAGTCTCTGTTATATATATATCTGTATTTTTCCATGTACTTTTTTTTTTTTTTGAGACAGAGTCTCATTTTGTGGCTGTTGGTAGATTGCTGTGGCATCATAGCTCACAGCAACCTGAAACTCTTGGGCTTAAGCGGTTCTTTTATTTCAGCCTCCCCAGGAGCTGGAACTAACAGGTGCCCACCACAACCCCTGGCTATTTTTTGGAGAGAGGGTCTCACACTTGCTCAGGCTTGTCTCAAACATGTGAGCTCAGGCAATCCACCCACCTCGGCCTCTCAGAGTGCTAGGATTACAGGTGTGGGTCACTGTGCCTGGCCACATGTACCTTATTGTACTTCATGTTTTTACTTTTCTTTCTTGGCTTCAGCTAATACTTGATTGATTATCTCTCTCTCTCTTTTTTTTTTTTTTGTTTTTTTCCTCTTTACCCATGTTTTAGAAATGACTTACCCTCATCTGAATTTTTCCTTATGGAACATATTTCTTCAGTCTACTTTGTCTCCATTGTCAGCGTATTTAATTACAACTTTCTCTTTAGTAGTAATGTGTGGTTTTAATTTATTGATCATTGCCCTACAGGGTTTATTCATGGGGTTTTTTTCCTCTTTCTTGGAAGGAGCTGAATCCATATAATCATTTGTATTTAGCTTTTTGACAAACAAAATAGAAGCAACAAAGCAACTTGTACTACTTCCAATGACAACACATTTAAATAAGATACTACTTAAAAAGTAATCCATTGCCCTGTATTCCACCACAAGAGTTAATTCATGCAAATATAAATATTGGAAACACATTAGAAATATAATATGTGATTAATTTAAATTTCTTAATGTTAGTTTTTTAAATAATATTTTCAATTACTTAGGGAAAAATTTTTGTTCTGGGTTATTTTGGTTAAGAAAGTAACCTAATGAATGTTATAGTATTTGTATAAAAATCATCCCAGGGCAAGGGGAATAAAATTTGGGGGATATCTGTATTATCCTCTTATAATCCTTACCCCATGAGAAGATGTAAGTGACTAAATGGCAGAATTGAAGTTTGAATCTACATCTGAGTGACTCCAAAACCCATGCTCTGTGTTAGATCATATAGTAGTGGTGAGTATTATCATTACCAAATTTGATACTCATTATTCTTAAAACTATGTTTTTTTCTAGAATGTCCCCAAACCAAGTTTAACAAAGCTAATGACTGCTTCTCTGCAATCCAAGAAAAATTGTAAGCTATTTGAAGACTTCTTTTTCTTGTGTCAATTTTTGATTATTAATTACAAATATTTTTATATATTCTTAACTGTGTTATTACTGTAGTAGAAGCACAGTATGGCACTGTGAGGACAGAAAATACAACCTTGATTGAGGACAGTAATTCTGATAGTCCAGAGGAAGATGAAGTTGAAGGCCTTCCTTCCAGATCAGTTAAAGTCCAGGCCTTTGCTCATCCTGCTTTTCCATCACCTGGCCCTCATCCAGCACCTTCCCTCAAGGCTTCAGCAAATCTTGGTCATACAGAGGTAAGTTGGGTTTTTTTTTTTTTACTGTTGGGGATTCATTGAGGGTACAAGAAACCAGGTTACACTGCATTTGTTATATACAGTCCCTCTTACAATCATGTCTTGCCCCCAGGTAAGTTGTTTTTTTAAAAACATTTTTCCTTCATGCTTTTTTCATATACCAATTCTTTGATCCTTATAAGGATGATAAGAATCCTAGAAAGAAATGGAAATCCTCATGATCATAACAGAAAACATGCATAATAACAAGAGAGAGGTATGTACAAGATTGATATCACTAAAAGTTAATGGGAGTAAACAATGCTTAGATTTGCCATTATGGAAGGAAAGAATTAGAAAATAATTCCAAAAAATAGCTTGGCAAATCCAAAGATAAAGAGAGGGGTTAAGAGAAAGAACGCAGACATAAAGATTAAATAGGAGAGCCAAGATGAGAGAGATTATTATAAGAGCATAACAGAACTTGTGGGGTTAGATGAGAGGAAGAACTCTATAAGGTAGGATAGAAGTTATTATTTTTTGAGACAGAATCTCACTCTGAGGCCCTTGGTAGAGTGCTGTGGTGTCATAGCTCACTGCAACTTCTTCCAGCTCTTGGGCTTAAGTGATTCTCTTGCCTCAGCCTCCCAAGTCACTGGGACTGTAGGCATCTTCATGACGCCTGGCTATTTTTTTGTTGCAGTTGTCATTGTTGTTTAGCATGCCCAGGCTGGGTTCGAACCCACCAGCCTCAATGTATGTGGCTGGCATTCTGACCACTGTGCTGTGGATGATGAGCCAGGATAGAAATTATTTTAAGTGCAAATTAAGAAGGTCAGGTCAGGCTCAGTGCCTGTAGCACAGTGGTTACGGTGCCAGCCACATGCACCAAGGTACTTCTCTCTGTACTTTGTCTTTGAAAGGCTCTACCTTTCTAGCGTTTGTTGAGGTTCCTAGGCAGATCTGACTGTTCTCTCCTTTGTGCCTGTACTGTACTTCATTCACTTCACTTGTACAACTAGTGAATTATATTTTTCTGTTTGTTTTCCTGTGTCTCTACCCCCACTTGATTATAGCGCAGAATCTGTCTTGTAATTCTTTTTGTTTTAAATCATAGCTGTGTACATTAATGCAATCATGGGGTATAATGTGCTGGTTTTATATACAATTTGAAAATTTTTCATCAAACTGGTTAACATAGCCTTCAGCACATTTTCTTAGTTATTGTGTTAAGACATTTATATTTTACACTTAGTAAATTTAACATGTACCGTTGTAAAATGCACCATAGGTGTGGTTCCATTACATCTTGTAATTCTATTTTCTTAGCTTCTCCCAGGATAGTACCCATGGCTTGATAGATGCAATAAATGTTTGTTGTTTTACTGAGTGATTGATTCAGTGGGTAAGTGAATAAACACAGTGTTTCTGAAGTTAGACTTTGTTTTGTTTTTAATAGGACGTAACAACAGAGGCAGCAACTGGAAAAAAAGAAAATGGTATTGGTATTATTGATAGTGCTCCAGTAGAGCAGACAGATGACAACGTGACTTCTGATGGAGTGCGCAAAAATAATAGAAGTGGTAAGGGAGGATCTCTGGAAATTGTTCTGTGATTAAATGTTATTGTAAAAAACCTCATTTAATCTGTGTAGATCCAAATATACTATCTACTTCTTTTAAGTATTTTTCTTTTGCTGTTTTTCTTTGTACTACTTTCTTCAACCATCTAAATTTCTTTTTGCTACTACTTATGTTTTATTGACATGTTTATGAATGGAAATAGACATACATGTTTTTCAAATCATAATAATAAATATTCTCATCAATTTATGTGTGAATGATGTTTTATAGATATGATGTCTGCATTAGGATTAGGACAAGAGGAAGATATAGACTCACCTTGGGATTCTGAGGTACTATTGTTGATGTTATTATTTTAAAATATAAGCATTGAATGATGTTAAAACATAAAAGGGGATGCTTTGACTTTACTTTTCACCTTTGCATCTGCCCATAAAGAATTATTTTCTTACATTTTTTTGTCCTATAATTAACGAAGTATTGCTAAGAATGTAACTACTGCATGGTACAACTCTGCTGATTTGCAGGATTCATTCTGTATTTTCAAATCCCAAACATTGTCTCTTGATGTTCCAAGTTATAAAAACCGACAGCCTTAACTACTTCTCTCTGAATCTCATGAGGGCATTTACACATCCACACATATCAAAGAATCATACATCTGGCCGTAGGTTGACCTGAAATAATTCTTTAGTTTTTTTTTTTTTT